CTGGAGGGTATTGGGAGGTCCCTAGGGGTTTGGGGGTGTCTGACTGGTGCCCCCCCAGGACTTAGCACAGTGTGTGAACGAGGTCAAACGGGACAACGAGACCCTGAAACAGCTGACGAGTGTCCAGCTCTGCCTCCACAACATGGTGGGGACCCCTGCACTGTGACCCCCTCAACCCTCCCCTGGGACCCCCCCCAAACACCCTATGGCACCCCCAAACTGCCCCAACTCCCCCTGCACCCCCAGATCCTCCTCAATCCTCTCAAATGTCCCCCTTGGCCCCCTCAAACCCTTCCAGCATCCCTGGGACCCCCCCACATCCACACCATGTCACCCCAATGTCCCTCATGTCCCCGCTGATGTCTGCCACAGCCACAATCCCTGGCGCAGTTTGGGCGCCCCAAAATTGACGGGGAGCTGAAGGTCTCCAGCACCGAGCGGCGCTCCAAGGTGGACAGGTGAGATGGGACAAGTGACACCATGGGGACACCATGGGGGCATCATAGGAACCTGGGGACACCCATGGGAACACTGCAAGGACACCCAAGGGGATATGGGAACACCACAAGAACATGTGGGCACCACAAGGACATCATGGGGAAATGGGAAAACAGGGACCTCTATGGGGACACCCACAGGGACATAAGGATGGGAGCACAGGGACATGGTGGGGACATCCTTGTTACAGAGCAGGGGACAGAGCAGCAGCCATTCTAGGGCAGTGGTGGGGACACCCTAAGGCATGTGGTGGTCTTGGGAACCTAGGGCCACCCCCATCCCTGTCCCCAGGTATGGCTTCCTCCTGGACAAGGCCCTGATCATCTGCAAGCGCCGTGGAGACTCCTATGAGACCAAAGACGTTGTGGACCTGCAGAGCCACCAACTGCGGGATGGTGGCCTTGGCCCTCGTGATGGCAAGAAGGTACCCTGGGACCCAGGTGTCGTCCGGTTCCCAGTGAACCCAGGTGTCCAGGTCCCTGGTGGTCCCAAACATCCAGGTCTAGTTGGCCCAAGTGTCCAGGTCCTTGGTGGACCTATTGAAGCCTGGTGGACCCCTGTGTCCAGTTCCCGGTGGCCCCGGGTGTCCTCTTCCAAATGAACCCAACATCCTGGTTCCTGCTGGACACAAGTGTCCAGGTCTGGTGGACCCAAGCATCCAGGTCCTTGGTGTACCCAAGTGTCCAGGTCCTGAAGCCTGGTGACCACGGGAATTCTGTCCCCAGTGGCCCCAGGTGTCCGGGTGGCAGTGAACCCAAGCGTCCTGCCACCGCTGAGCCCCACCCATCCCCACAGTGGACCCACACCTTTCTGCTCATCGATATGGCTGGGCTGCAGGGCTATGAGCTCTTCTTCAAGACCCGTGAGCTGAAGAAGAAGTGGCTGGAGCAGTTCGAGATGGCCCTGTAGGTTCCCCTGCACCCAGGGGTGGGAGAACCCGCCCCACTGGGGGCTGGGTGGCCCCAGAGGGCCAAATTTGTCCTCACTAGACCCAAGTCCCCATCTCTCTTGCCAGCTCCAACATCTTCCCTGAGCACGCGCTGGCTGATGGGCATGACTTCCAGATGTTCTCCTTTGAGGATACCACATCCTGCAGGGCCTGCCAGATGTTGCTGAGGTAGGATCCCAAAATTATGTCTCCCATTCTCCTGAGGAGACAATAGGGGGCAGGGAGAGGGGGTTGGGGGGCTCTCGGAAAAGGGGAGGCCCCATGATTGGAGGTGGAGCTCTTGATGAGTCAAGCCCTTGAGTTGAGGCCAAGGTGGGCCAAGCCTTTAGTGGGTCAAGGTTTGAATTGGTAAAGGATGGGTAGGTTGAGTCCTGGGTAAGCCAAGGCCAACGTGGGTCAAGTCTTGGGTGTGTTGAGACCAGGGTGGGTCAAGGATCTGGTGGTTCAAGCCCTGAGTGGTCCCAAGGCCAAGTTGGGTCAAGGCTGGGTGGAGGCCAAGGTGAGTCAAGGGTTGGATGGAGGACAACAAGGTGGGTCAAGACCAGAGTGGGTCAAGGCCTGAGTGGGTTGAGTACTGGGTGGGCCAAGGCCAAGGTGGAGCAATCCCTGGGTGGGTTAAAACTGAGGTGGGTTGATCCTGGTGGAGCCAAGGCCAAAATGGGCCAAAAACCTGATGGGTCAAGGCCCAGGTGGGTCTAAGATTGGGTCAGTCCTGGGTGGGTGCAGGTGGGCTGGTGGGTGTCTCCTCCTACTGACCATGACCATGTCCTGATGTCCCCCCAGAGGCACGTTCTACCAGGGGTACCGCTGCAGCCGATGCCGGGCCCCCGCACACAAAGAGTGTCTGGGGCGACTGGGAACCTGCGGCAAGGGCGGCGCCGGTGAGAAGCATCATGGGATAGTGGGGGAGTGGGGCACGATGGGATGGGGAGTGGGATATAACATCAATGACATGGAGCAGGGCATTGTGGGATACAAGATGGCCAACATGGAATGGGGCATTGTGGGATATGACATGGCCAACACAGAGAAGGGTAATGTGGGATACGAGATGGTTGACATGGAAAAGGCCATTGTGGGAAACAAGATGGCCGACACAGAGAAGGGCATCATGGGATACAAGATGGCTGACAGGGAGCAAGGCATTGTGGGATACCCTAATGAGGGCTCTGTAGGAGGCTAATTAGCACCAAGTGTTAATTAGGACAGAGGTTAAATACACCCCCGCTAACAGCTGGTTCCTCTCCTTCCCCCAGATGCAGCCTCGGGCACAAGGAAGGTAACAGCAAAATGGGTCAAAACGGGCTGAAATGCCCCAAATTTGGGGGTGGGGAAAACTTGGGAGGTGTCATGTCCCCCCCCAGGACTAATTAGGGTCTCGTTAATCTCCAGAACAAGTCGCAGCGGCCGGGCCCTGAGAAGAAGCGTGGAGATCTGGGTGAGGACAACATGGCGGGCCTGGACTTCTGGACCCACATTTCTGGGGGGCAGAGAGGTTGTCCATGCCCCCAGTGCCAGGGTTCAGTCCTCCATTGTGTCTTCTTCCAGGGTTGCCCAAGATGGAGGCAAACCAGCCCTACAGTGGTGTCCCACCACCACCAGGGGCCCTGGGTCCTACCCTACGCCTCAGCCCCGGGGACGTCGTGGAGGTCACTGTGGCCGAGGCTGAGCAGCTCTGGTGGCAGGTGAGGACGGGACCTCTGTGGTTGGCATGCAAGCCTTGTGGTCATGCTAGGATGGACCTCCAGTATGGGGGAAGACCACCATGGCCATGCTAAGATGGACCTCCACTGTGGCACAAACCACTATGGCCATGCTTAGATGGACCTCCACTATGGGGGCAGACCACCATGGTCATGATGGAATGGTCCTCTCCTATGGAGGCAAACCACTATGGCCATACTGGCATGGAGTTCCAACATGGGGGCAAACCACCATGGCCATGCTAGGATGGGCCTCCACTATGGGGGCAAACCACTACAGCCAACTTGGGATGAACCTCCACTGTGGGGCAGACCACCATGACCATGCTGGAATAGACCATCATGATGGGCTGGGACAGACCTGCAAGTCCATGCTGGACCCCCAAGTCCATGCTGGACCCCCATGATGATCTCAAACCACAATGGCTGTGACAGGTCAAACTAGACCCCCATGATGAGTTGAGGAGCCATGGTTGGGTTGGACCCCCATGATGGGACTGGGCCAGATCCTTCCAGCCAGATTAGACCCCCACCATGGTGCTGGAACCCTGTGGTCATGTTGAACCCCTACAATGAGGGCAGATACCCCCCCACCATGGGAGACGGACCTCCATGGCCATGCTGAACCCCTACAATGGAGATGGGCCAGAGGCCCGTGATGGAGCTGGACCTCCATGGCCAGGCTGGACCCCTGTGGTCCTACCAGCCTCCTGAGGAGCAGGAGGACCCCCATGGTCCCCCTGGTCCCATGGTCCTTCATCTTCAGGGCAAGAACGTGGCCAATGGTGACCTGGGCTGGTTTCCCTGCGCTGTCGTGAGACCCTTCATCTGTGTGAGTATAGGGACCCCAAAAAGTCCCCAGGAGCCCCCACACCCACCATGATGTCCCCAAGATGTTGGAGGTGTCCTGGGATTTGGGGGAGGGCAGGTGTCTCAGAGGAGTCATCTTCTGTCCCCTCTTGATCCCCAACTCTTGCTTCTCTCCCTCAGGTGCCACTGCCGGATCTCTCCGTCTACCCCTGGTTGGTGTTGAGGTCCCTCATGGTCCCTGGGACTCCCCAAATCCTTCCTGTTGTCCCCTTTCCCTCCTGGGGTCACCCCATAGCTCCAAGGGCCCCCTAAATCCCTCCTGTGGTCCTCTGTCCCTCTTGAGGTCACCCCAAATCCTCCTCCAAGATCATCTCATAGCTCCCATGGGCCCTCCATCTGTCCTGTGACCCCTCCAAGGGTCACCCCCTAGGTATGAGAGCCCCCCTAAGTCTTCTTCTGAGCCCCTCATCCTTCCTGTGGTCACCTCATAACCTCCAGTGTCCCCTAAATCCTTCCCCAAATGCCCCCCAACCCTCCTGGTGTCTCTCAAATTCTTTCTCAGGATTGCCCCATAATTCCCAGCTCCCCACTCCCCAAAGCCCCACAAATTGCCCCAAGGAGGGGCAGGAGACACCAGTTTGGGGGCTCAGGACCCCCACCCCATCATCTCCAGGTACGCTGGTCCCATGGAACGAAGGGAAGCTGAGCAGATCCTGATGCCCCGCTCTGACGGTGCCTTCCTGGTGCGGCAACGGGTGAAGGACGCCGGCGAATTTGCCATCAGCATCAAGTAGGGACCAAGGACACCTTCAAGGTCGGGTGGGAGGAGGACACAAGGGTGGAGTGGGGTGCAGGTCCTCAGCTCAGCCCACCATGTCCCCCTTGCCCAGGTACCGCGGGGAGGTGAAGCACATCAAGGTGATGACAGCAGAAGGTCTCTACCGCATCACCGAGAAGAAGGCGTTCAAGGGGCTGGTGGTGAGCGTTGGAGACCCCTTCTCTGTCCACCCCTCCAACCCAGATCTCAGGGTCCCTCCTTGCATTGGGGTTGAGGGCTGGTGGTGACCTCAGGGCTTGACCATGTTGTCCACAGGAGCTGGTGGAGTTCTACCAGCACAGCTCGCTCAAGGATTGTTTCAAAGCCCTTGACACGACACTTGTGGTGTCCTTCAAGGAACCCGAGAGCCGGGCTGGTCCCCGGCCACCTGGTAGGACCTAGGGGATGGGTTGAAGGTGGTGGTTGTGGGATGGAGGTGGTGAGGTCCCTCATTGTGGGTGAGGGTGGGATAGAGGTGGTGGGATTGAGGTAGTGAGGTGGTGGGATGGAGATGGTGTGGTCCCCCATCAGGGTGGTGGTGGTGGGGTGGATGCAGTGGTGGTGGGATGAACATGGTGGGGTTCTCCTCCTTCCAGTCATGGTCAAGAGGACATGCTGAGGTGGACAGTTGAGTCACAAGGACAATGATCAAGGGATGAGTCAAGGGAATGGTTGAGGAGAAGGGAGAGGAGCAGCCATGGGACAGGTTGAGGGGGACAGATGGCCAAGGGCGACAAGTTGAAGGGACGAGGCAGGCAGTTGAGTCATGGGGTCAAGTTGTTGGTGATGGCCAAGAGGTGGGTTGAGGGATCAGCAATAGGATGAGTCAAGGAGGAACAAATGGCCAAGAGGGCCAAGTTGGGACTGGGCCAAGGGGGACAGCTGAGTTTTGGGGACACATCAATGGAGATGGCCAAGGGTTGGGTTGAGGGAAGGACCATGGGACTGTCAAGGTGGAACACATGGCCATGAGAACCAGGTGGAGGGGACTTGGACAACCATGGGGGATGACCTGAGGGACTCATTCATGTCCCTCTGTCTCCAGGAGCCGTGCGCAGCTTTGGTTCGGCCAAAGCCCGCTATGACTTCTGCGCCCGGGACCGGACGGAGCTGACGCTGCGGGAAGGTGACATCATCCGTGTCCTCAGCAAGAAGGGCCACCCAGGCTGGTGGAAAGGAGAGATCTATGGGCGGGTATGACCCCTTCCCCACCCCAAGGTCATCCCTAAGCTCCTCAAACCTTCTCCCAACGTGTCCTCCTTCTCCCAGGTTGGATGGTTTCCTGCAAACTACGTGGAGGAAGATTACTCAGAGTATTGCTGACTATGGACCCCCCATCCCATCCACCACCTTGTGTCCCACCACCCGTGTTCCCCCCAGAGGCCACCATATCCCTCCCCACCCTTCCTCCTTCCATTAATTTATGCCTCTTCCTGCCCAGGAGGGACAATAAACAAGGATGAGGAGAAGCTGCAGAGCTGGATTCTGCAGGAGAGGACCCAGGTGTCTGGGTGGGGGATGTGGTCATGGGACATGGATTTTCTGGGAAGGGACCCAGGTGTCCGGGCGGACAATGAGGTCACTGCTGTGCAATCAGTTTCTCTTGGAACAGACCCAAATGTCTGGGCAGAGAGGAGACCATGGGGTTCGTGTTTCCAGGAAGGGACCCAGATACCCAGGCAGGGATGAGATCATGGGGTTGAGGTCTCCAGGAAGGGACCCAGATGTCCAGGAAGGGATAAGACTACAGGGTTGGTTTCTCCAGGAAGGGAAGCACATGTTCAGGTAGGGATGAATTCACGGGGTTGGTATCTCCAGGAGGAGACTCAGATGTCTGGCTGGGGACAAGGTCTCGGGGACAGTAGCTCCAAGAAGTGACCCAGGTGTCCAGAGAGGGGATATGGACAAGACTCTAGGGTCACCTGCATTAGGAAGGGACCCAGATATCCAGGTAGGGATGAGACCATGGGGTTGAGGCCTCCAGGAAGGGACCCAGATATCCAGGTAGGGATGAGATCATGGGGTTGGTGTCTCCAGGAGGGGACCCAGATATCCAGGTAGGGATGAGATCATGGGGTTGGTGTCTCCAGGAGGGGACCCAGATATCCAGGTAGGGATGAGATCATGGGGTTGGTGTCTCCAGGAAGGAACACAGTTGTCCAGGTGCAGGTGAGACCATGAGGTCAACAGCTCCAAGAAGGGACTGAGTCACCCGGGTGGGGGAGCCCCATCATCGCTGGTAGGTGCCATGAGCAGCCTCAGGCCTCGGCCTACACCAGGCGTGGTGGGGGGAAGCGGTTTTGGGGCCATTTGGTGGTTTTGGGGCTGTCCGGCGCCACTTCCCCTCTGCCACCGGTGCCGTGGGGCCACCACGTCCCCTGTCCTGTCTCCTGTCATGGGGTCCCCACCCCTTGCCGCCTGTCTGTGGGGTGAGTTGTGTCCCCTCCCTCCTGGGGGGGTTATTTTGGGTTAAAACAGAGAGAAATGGGAAAAGGGAAACTGAGGCAGAGACGGAAGTAGGTTGGGACTAAATGCAAACAACACAAAATAGCCTGAAATCATCCCAAAAATGGGGGGTTTGGAGCTGGGAGGGGGGTGTCAAG